TGGCACACGCCGGGACAAACGCCATTTTATCCCACCCTGGTTCTACCCACCTGTCCTGGCTGTCCCTTTTCCTGCTCTTCTTACTTCTCCGTGCCATCCTCGTCTTGGAACTGTTTTTCCGAGCGGGGCCGATTTTAATGGAGGTGTTCTCCAGGGCAGTGGTCCGCAGGGCCACTTTATTCCCACTCTGAGGGACGGAAAACAAGGTGCTGCAGCATGCCGGATCCCAGCGCCGGATACGAACTGGCTCCCGCCTTGGCGGCCAGGCGAGGGATTTTTTTGGATTGATGCACCATTGCTGGGGGCTGGCCCGGCGAACAGCGTGGCACCGGTCACCTACCTTCAGCAGCAGCTCCACGACGTCCCGGTGAACTAAACCCAGCACCGACTCGCCGTTCACGTGTGTGATGAGATCGCCCGCTCTCAGTCCCGCTTCCTGCGCAGGGCTCCCCTCTTCCACGCTCTGCAATCAAAAGACCAAGATTTTATTCGGATGCAAGCCTAAGTTTCCTCCCGGGGTTTTCCCATCGGGAAACGGTGTCCGACACCACCGGTCCCTCCCCGTGCGGAGCCCAGGCCACGTACCCAGACCATATGGTGGACGGTATAGACGTCACTGTCCCCCATGTAGACGCGGATGGCTCGCAGGGTGAAGCCGTACTTCTTGCCCGAGCTGTGGATGATGATGGGGGGCCGCAGGCTGGCGATGGCGAGGGTCGAGTCTCGGCTTGGGGAGGAGTCACGGGAAGAGGGGTTCGACGAGAGGGAGTGGGGGGAGATGGGGCTCATCAGGGCGCCGCTGCTGAAGTCATCTGCAAGTGAGAGAAGCTGGCTCAGCCCGGGAAAACCACGCGGCAGCCGCCATCCGGCAGGATAAACCACGTGGCACACGGACCTGATGTGATGATGAGGGACAGGGCTGAGACGGAGGCAGATTTGGGGACACGGCCACCCGGAGAAGCTCTCTGCCTGTCCGGCACGTCCTTCTGGCTGCCCAGCCGACGGCTCCCACCCGGCTCCAAGCCCCGGGGAGTTGAGTTTTTGGTGCCGGTGCTGTTGCTCCGGAGGCGGATGCGGTTCAGGCTGATGAGATCGGCTGTGCAGAGGGGAGGAGGGAGAGTTTGGGGATGTGGAGAAGCCACCCCACGCTGTGCGGGACCCCTGGAGCATCCCGCACCAGCGCCTGCAGCCTACACACCGGATAACGCCGACGGCTTCACTGCGCCTCCGGTCCCTGCGTCGGGGTCTCCCAGCACAAACTTGGGTCTCTCCGGCTTGGAGGATGCTACACAAGGGCTTTCATCCTCCGAGGAGAAGGCAAATTTGGGCATGGTGTCCAGGCTGTAGGTGCTGGGCAACGCGGCAGGGCTGCGGCTTCGCTCGTGCTGGGAGGTGTACGGCGTGGAGCTGCAGGACGTCCAGGAGCGGAGCCTGTGCAGGAAGAGCAGGAGGGCTCGGGACAACCAAAGATGGGCGAGGGGGACAGCCCCGAGCCGCTGCAGAACCCCAGGTCACGTCCCACTGATGCCGCTGCAAACCCTCAGTGCTGGCACAGAGCCACATCAGCGTTGCACCGTCCGTCTCACCACGCACCGGGGCTCTGTGCCCGCCAGCCGGCTCCTGTCCTCGTCTCCCGAGTGCCTGTCCCATCGCTCCTCTTTGTCCTCGCTGTGACTCCGATCGGAGGACGAGAGGCTGAGGTTGGAGTGAGCTGCCAGGAATTCAGAGCTGCTGTACACCTGAGGAGGAGACGAGCCATCAGCAAGGAGCAGAAATTCAGGAATCCAGGCGCTCCCGCATCAGCCAGGACACTGATGCTCGGCACAACCGCGCTGGCTGTGGTGCCCGTCATTTTGGGTGCCAGAGGAGGGATTGGAGCACCTTGCTGAAGCGATGGGAGCAGGAGGAGAACTGCCCGATCTCCACGGATGATTCCTCGTCGTTGGTTTCTTCATCCGAATCCAAGTGGCGGTACCTCTCGGAGCGAGCTGAAAGCAAGAGCGGGAGCAGGCAGGGCTGTCACCCTGCCCGCAACACACCGCGTCCTGCCTGCCCGCGCAGCCCCGGGGGGATCTGCAGCCACGGGGAGCTGTACCGTGGCTGACAGCCCGCTCCCAAATCCCAGGGAAGTTTTGGGGTGAGAAAGTAAGGGCTTTGGTAAGGCTGAGCAGCCTGGAAACAGGATTGCATCTGTTTCATGACTTCGGCTGTAAAGCGACCGACTTCACCCAGGAGATTTTCATCTCCTGTGGGAGCATCCAACCTGCAGCCGGGATAACGGATTGGCAGAGGCAGGGGAAAAGGGGATGGATTTGGCCTCACTGTCGAAGTAGCTGGTGTCGTCCTCTGACTCCAGCTGGGGGATGAACTCAGCCTTCTGCCGCAGCAGCCCATTCCAGTCCAGGTGGAGGAAGAAGGAATGGTGCTTCACCTCATGCGCACCCCCTGCCAGGCAGAGAACCCTGTGTTGGAGGGATGGGGCAAGATCCGGGATGCTCCCGCTTCCATCACAAACACGCCGC